ACAGAGAACATTTTTTACTACCCACAGGAGTATCTTTTTGCAATCGGTGTTCAGATGTTTATCTAGTGATTACCCAAGGCACCCAGCGATGCAGCAGTCCAAGGTACTGCACGTGGCAAGGGCACAAATTCTGGCTGCTGAGCATTGGCATGCCATGCTGGAAGGTAGACCTTCTGGAGGCTGTTTCTAGAAATGCCATCCCTGAGGACAGATTATTGGCTGCTTCTGTTTTGTTGTATAGTCTGTCATTCTAAGTAATGAGCATTAGCTGGCTGGCCTGTCATTGGGCAAAGCAGGTTAAGGACATCAGTGTCTGCTGCTTATTGGCAAACGTTTCATTTTTTTACAGTGATATGCAGATTTTATGGCTCCCTTTCTGATATTTGATCATTTCTAGTTTAAGGTAAGGCAGTAGAACTCCTTTCTAGAGAAAACTGTTCTGCTCTCATGTTATAGAATCCAGAACTCACTTTGAAGGACTAAATGATAGAGGGCATTCCCCAAACTCACTTACAAAAGTAGTACATAGTCACTATTTTAAACAACAATAAAAAAAACAAGGACAAGGAAGAAAACTCCTGCATAATTAATCTATCCAAGACAGCAACTATTAACATTTTGGTGTGTTTTCTTTTTCTTCTTTTTTGAGGTCTGGATTATTCTTCTTAAACAATTTTGTATCTTGTTTTGTTTGATTCTGCTTGCTTAACATTTGTCAGATGTATTTTAGCACGTCATAGAAAAATCCTTCTGATATATAATTTATAACAGCTGCATAATAGTCTATCTTTTAGATGTCCCAGAATTTATTTAAACAATCTCCTGGTGCTATCTTCATTTTTAACCACAGCATGTTGACATTTTTTTTATTTTTCCTTTGGGATATTTTTAAATGAGGAACTGGCAGGTTCAAGGACATGAACAAATTTTACAAGTTTCTTCCTCTTTAAAAGATAATATTGTTACTTTTCCTGATTACAATATAGAATCATTGCAAAACAAGCCACTCTAACATTTAAAGAGAAAAATAAAATCACCATTTGTCTCTGTATACACCTGCAATTCTTTCCTCTCTTTCCTTCCTTCCTTCCTTCCTTCCTCCCTCCCTTCCTTCCTTCCTTTCCTTCATCATGCCCTCCTTCTTTCCAAGGGAAATGATAGAATCTTATCATAAAACAATATTAGTTGCAATTTTCTTTTCACAGCTAGTAATGTACAATGGACACAGTAGATATAATGTTTATCAGGACCATGGTCTAGGTAGGTAAACTGATGCCCAGAAAAGCCAACCCTCATCAACAGGATGTCAAGTATCATTTCATGCCACTGTCACCATCTCCAAATATAGTCTCTCCTGTAGTCTTTGCTTCCCAAGTATTTGCACACTTGTAAAATTCAAAGTCATTTTCACTTTGGACCCTAAGCTCCGTCTTTTGCAGCTTGTCTGTTTTACCTGTTGTCATCTTTTTGCATATAGATTTCTAGGAACTCTTTATATAATAAGTATTTTGGTGTTTTTTCCCATTATTATAACAAATGTTTTTCTTGTTTTGTGTCTGTCCCTTAGTTTCATTTTTTACTTTGATTTTAAAATATGCAAACTTTTCTGTTCTCATACTATTTTTCTCTTGTTTTCAAATTTAAACCCTTATTCCCATATAGAGAACAGGTAAACACTGACATTTGGTTTCATCTTTGTAAGTTTCATTTTAATTATTTTTATTTTACTCTACCTGGAACAGACTGTGGAACATAGTGGCAGATAAGGATTTGCATTTAATCCCTTTTCCAGCTATTCAGATTTGTCTTTAACCTATCATAACTCTCTTAGCACACAACGTTCTTACACATGCAAAGGTCAGTTTCTGAGGTGCCCTCCTTTCTAGACTACAGACATCAGCAAGCAGGCAGGTTTCTGTTACTCTAGTGGGCCTATCACATGCCATCTCTCTTCAAGCTAAAGAAACCCATGGAGAAGCAAAGGAGAAGAGGATTCCTAGAGAACAGAAAGCCCAGCCGATGCTAAACTTACAGAATTTGTTCTCCCATCTCTAGAATGCTGTAGATATGAATAAAATATTATAAAGTGTGCCTGAAAGGAAAAAGGGGTAAAAAGAAATGTCAAATCCATGACATGCAATTATATATAAGAAGTCTGTCTGAAATTTGATTGAATTTTAGTTACTCTCTGTTTTCCTAATGAATAACCGTAGCCCTTTAATTAATTATATGTTAAGTGCTTAATCATAGGGCTTTATTTTTCCTTATTATATTTTAAAAGGAAAATGCAAATGTTACATGTCCTGGCCATGCAAACAGTGGGGAGATGGTATTTCATGTTGTTTCTTCTTTTAAAAAGGTCCCTTGATTCACTTAAATTTCCTAAGAAGAAGCTCAGAAACACATTTGCTTACACATTTTGATTTTTCATCATAACCCATGGCATAGTGTTGGATTTTCATTCTCTGAATCCCTCCCTTAACTTGGCATATTAAAGAGGCTACAATCCTCTGGGTTGAATCTTTAGAGTGAAAAGGCAGCTTTTTCCAAGGTGCTCCTAAGACAAAGGCATCTGACTGTGTTGGAAATGAGGTGGGAATTTGGGCCACAAAAAGACAGCCTCAAGTTACCAAGTTTGTTCCTAGAGGTTATGCCATAGAATAGTCTTGGCAGATCATACATGAAGAGGGAAAATAGAAAATGCTTAAGCCTGGGCTACAGCATCATTTGGAGCTAACACATCCTGATAATTCACAATTCACTCTTATTATCACAGAGTTAGCAGATTGCATCTGAAATCACAGGCAGCCACAGTAAGTCAGGGCTGCTAATGCTTCACGCTGATGTTATTAAAAACTAATTCATAGTTTGGATAACCTAGCCATGCCCTGAGCTACAGTATTAATTCAGAGAGGAAAAAGCTTGGACCCAAATTTCCTGCATCAAGAACATTCAAAACAAGAGCCATATTGCTGCCAGTCAAATCTGCAAAGCCATTCTGATTCAAAGACCAGATTTCCCATTTAAAAATTTGCAATCAGATCAGGTTTTGGAAGATGCAAAGCTATGTGGGACAAGCATTATTAAACATTTCAAAGTTCTAATATAGCCACTTGAGGTTTTCCACTGCGGCTTCTGGAGCCACAGTCCCCTTTGAAGTGCTTGCTGCAATGAGTCTCCTTGCTTATTATTCAGACACATTTGCCTTCATTGAACAGCACAAAGCTTCTAAAAATACGCATCGAATGACACTGCAGGTACACTACTGCACCGACTAACTCTCTCCCCAAACACACACTGGGTCTATTAACAAGTATATTTATAATGTGGATAAAAGGATAATCTTGTTTCAGATACATATGTTGGGCATTACCCATTTGAACATCACCCCAGGAAAAAAAAGGATGGCTGGCCCCGTTTGAAATGAAAATGCTTAAGTAGCAATGGCAGAAAACACCAAGTAATTCTTCACACACTGTAAATATGAAGGATTTTTTTCTTCCAAAGTGCAAATTCGTCTTTTACAACCACAACCACTTTAACTAAGTTCTCCTTGGAGTGCCAGACTTAAAGGAGATCTGCTAGTAAGGGAGGCATGACAGTGTGTTCTCAGAAATAAAAATCTTCCTGCTATCTAACTTAAATCCCCTGCTCCTGCCACGTAGAGCTGTCGTCGTTTCCCTAGGGCTATTCTGTGTCCAGAGTGCTGTAGCAGTGCTCTTGGAAAGGCGAATACAGTCTAGTTTTATCTTTAGAGCATCTTTAAAATATAGATTACAAGAGAGCCCTGACTACAAAGTACTGCACCATGGTATTTAGAGAGAACCATGCTCTGCAGACAGAAGACTGCCACTACATTAATTCATCTCGCACCCTCCTCTGTTCTCATTATAATTTTATCTTAGGAATTAATACATTCTGCCATCTTCTATTCTGGTTACAATCTAGAGAAATCCGTGAGGCTGAATACATTTTGTACCACTTTGTTCTGCTTATAATGTTAAGATGTTTTCAAGAATGGATTAGTTCAATGCCACTTCCCCTGCTTTATCTTGAGAATGAGAACTCAAACAGAAAACTCCAGCCAGCATTGGTGTGAATGCATTTCCAGCACAAAGACTGTAGAAAGAAGAGAGACTAGGAAAATAGTTTCGCTTGTCTTTGTTTTTAAGATTCTCTGACTTCCCATAAATTTTAAAGGGAACACAGTCTAGTATTAGATCAGTGACCATGGCTTAAGAAAGAGTTCTCACCACAAGTTACTCCTTCTCCCAAGTGAAACAAATAGAAATTCCTTCATCACAATTACATATAAAAAAATAAAATATAACCACTAGAGGTACACAAAAATCCTAATAAAGATTCATGTTTAGAACCTTTGGAACCCTCTCAATACTACAATTACCAAAGTCATTTCTTTATCCAAGTAAAACCAGCTGGTTAAAGTGATTTTATTTTTTACGTGCTATTAGGGGGACTGGACCTCATAATAACGGCAAATTTGCATTGTGACAATTTCACTTTGTTAAATTATGGAACCAGTTACTGGACAGAAAGTCACACCATAGGGATGGTCACAAATGGAAAGCGATTCCATGTTTCGGATACAGAACGAAGGTAGTGATTTGCCAGATGATATGCTGAAAATGGCAGAGCTGTTTTTCACTTCCACCCTACTGCTTCTTCCTGCACAAATGTCCTAGACCCTTCCATGGTCTCTCCTCTGCCTCCCTCCTTGTTCCAGTTGGGGGTACATTTAATGTCTGGAAAACAGGTACAGGCAATTAGCATTAGAGTCTCCAGTTAAATTAGCTTATTCAGACACAGACATTGCTCTGGTAAAGCCCTCACTCCCATCTACCCAGTCCATCTTTTCTCCACTCAAAATCATAAGAACTCTCCCTCTGGCACCATCTCCCACAAATGTGTTTAAACCTAGACTTCTCTTCGCTTACACCCATTTAGGCATTGGGGGGGTGGGTGCTTCTTCTTGCCTTTGGGGGTTCACAGTCCATCTGGCCACAGGTTCACCACTTCCAGCACATCAGTTCTTCAGTCCTAGACTCACTGTATGTCCGACTTCTCTTCCTTCACACAGGCTGGGCTCTTTACTATAAATACAATCTTGATTCTTTAAAACAGAAGCAAAACAAAGAGTATTTTTTTTTTAACCCCAGATACTGCTCTGATTACCTTCACATTTTTTTCCTTCATAGTCAACTCCTCCCCTTCTGTTCTCTAACTCTGTATTGTGACCCCTGCCTGGGCATGCCGCAGAAACTGCTTTCATAACCCCAGAGTTGCTAATGGCTTCCGTATTGACATACCTAATGGACACATTTTCATCTGTATCTCACTTCACAGTATTGACACCACAGCCAGTCTTCCTGCTTAAAACTTGGTCTCTGCTATCAGAACATGACACTTTTTAAAATCCTTTGGTCTTCTTAGAATTGATCCTCAGCTGCCTTTATTTATCTTTTTTGTTCTCTCTTGTGTGGCACTGTCTCCAGCATTCTACTGCCCATCTGAGCTTCCTCTTTACTCTCTTCAAGGGGTGAACTTGCCAAATTCTAAGGCTTCTCCATATCTCATGTCTTGATAACTCAGATTCGATCTTTCCTCCAAGACTTGCCTACTGAACCTGACTCACTTCCTCTTGTGTGTCTCAGTTCTTGGTATGACAGTTAACGGTATGTGTCAACTTGACTGACCTAAGGAATACCCTGAGAGCTAGTAAAATATTGTCTAGGTTTGTCAGTGAGGGTGTTAGAATCAGTAGCCTGAGTAAAGATGTGTATAGGACTGACTTTTATTAATGGACATAATATGGACTAAGAACTTTTAATTAAACCCAGCAAAACCATTTGAGCTCTTGGGTCTGACGACTGGGTCATCTACTTGGCAACCTCAGTTTGGTACTCCACTCAAAAAGATAATGAATGAATGTTGTACCCACCCATTGCAAACAATGGAGGTTTGGAAGCATGCGTGATCTTGGATGAATGTGAACTAAGGAAGAAAAGACCAGATGGTCTGCCAAACTCCAACTTGTACTAAACTATGGGTGTGGCCTGACCAGAATCATGGGACACAGAGGACAAAACAGGGTTCTGGAATCAGTTCTATCAGCACAGGGTGAGAACACAGACAGCTCCATCCGCACAGGTGGACAGGTGGAGGGGACAAGAGAAATCCATGGGCACAGTTCTAGGGACAGACAGTTCTAACAGATAGCTGGGGAACTAGTGTCCTCTTAGTTCAGGCTCACTCTTAAAAACTTAATTTAAGAGTCAGTCTGTTTGCTCAGGTGATTATGATGGTGAAATAATAAATGGCCCAATGTGTCCTCACCAATGTAGGTGGGCATCAGTCCAATCTACTAAGGACCCAAACAAAACAAAAAGACAAATTCTCTCTTCTTAAGCTGCAATGCCCATTTTCTCTTACACTTAGAAATCAATGATACTGGTTTGGGGACCTTATGACTCCAGAGCTTATACCTGTGGTCTATGGCCCCAGTTCTCAGACCCTCAGATCAGACTGATTAATACCACAGCTTTCAGGGGTCTCCAGCTAGCAAATGGCAGTCTCAGCCTCTGTAATCATGACGGCCAGTTCTCGGGTGAATCATCCCCTCTTATACATCTGTCTATATCCTATTGATTTTTGTTTCTGTGCAGGCCCCTGATTGATACAGTTGGGATCAGCTTGACTTCCTTTACTGACACCACCTGTTCCTTAAGTTCCATTCAGAACCACCTTGGCTGGCCTTGTTGAGGGTAAGATACAGCAGCTCATGTCACTCCAAATGAAGAGTGGCTTTTTACCACTTTCCAAATGAAGATGTACTTTTTACCATTGACCAGCTTCAGAACAATTACTGAATGACTCAGTTTCACTATATCACAACTTTTTGGAATTTACCTCACTGTATCATGCTGTCATACAAATAACCTAAGAATAATTACCAAACATTCAACACCCCACTCCACTCCACTCCACTCCACTGATACCTGGCTACTTTCCAATTGGAAGTCTCTGGTCCTTGGATTGCAAAGATAGACAGAATTTCTCATTGGTTGGTAATGCTGGAACAAAAACGTGAGACTCAATCAGGGAACGGTTCCAATGAATCAAGGAAGCAGTTAGCACATCAGCAATCATTCTTTAAGAAATTTCCAGTAAGGCTCATTTTGCTCAGGAGAGTAGAGTATTTAACATCTTAAAATCAACTCTCAAGTAGTATACATCCATTTTATGTATAAGGAAGGACTTCAACCAGCTACAAGTGCATAATTTAAAATTTAGCTTATTCAGCAGTGTGAATATGGAGAAGGTAATTACATTTCATCCGTTTAGAAATGTCAATTGAAAGCGAAGTTGTCCACAATTCCGGTTAAATAGTAGGAAACTTCCTTTATAAAGATGTGAAGAAAAGAGCCTAGGGTTATTTTAATCCATGCCTTATATTTAGCTGTCTCTTTTATTCTAAAACTATCCCATTGTTGCTATTTGTAGTTTAAATACAACCTACAGTAAATAAGGAAATGAACAAACCATGACTCCAAAATGTCCAACTAAAGTCAATTTTAAAAGCTCTCCAATGGATGCTCTTCTGAAGAACTAGCATTGACTTTTTGTTGCCAGAACAAGCAATTGTTAAGATAAATCTCCCACCCAAAACAGCTCAGATTCAATAGTGCCCTTCCAAGGAGATGCTTGATTCTCGTTGGAAGTGGAGAGGCTGATTCACCATGCTCTCTTTCATGGTCTGAACACAGCTGGGACTTTAATCAAGTATAATTTGAATGGCACCTGCTAATGAAAACACTGTACTATGTGAAAGGCAAGGCTTTGTGCCTGAAGACATTTTCATGCCTTCCATTTGTTTTCCCTAAATTTCCAAAATACGTTTTTTATCAGCCTGGGAGAGGAAGTCTTTAGCTGCTTAGAGGCTACCTTCTGCAGTCCAGGAGAAGTGGTTCACTCTCCCATCTCATTCAATCCTCTTTTCAGCTGCTCTAGTGACAATTAGCTGTAATTGTAATGGCAGCCAGTCTGATGAAGACTCCGGGCTGCTGGGGATGGAGCTGAAACTGCCACATACTCTTTTCCCCAAAGACCCTGGACTTCCAGGACCTAATGACTGTGTGTCATTAGATTCTGAGCCAAAATTCAGCTGATCGACTGAAGGTTAACTGTTCAATTTCCCATTACCAAGCAGCTCAGGATGGTAGTTCCTATTTGTGTTGTGATCACCCCCAGGAAGTTCCTCATCAAAATTTATTACTGCTTGAAGCCTAGACGACTTCCTCCGTGCTAAACACATGCTTTTCAGCAAGGTAAGTTGTGCGTGTGTATGTGTGTGTGCGTGCGTCTGTGTGCGCAGGTGTGGATACACATGTGTGGTATATGCATGTGTATGTGCATGTGCTTGTGGGTGCATGTATACATGTGCACACGTGTGTGGAGGCCAGATGTTGATCTGTGGCTTCCTTGATCACTCTCCACTTTATCTTAGAAGACAAAGTGTCTTCACTGAGCTCAGGGCTTACTGTTTGACTAGACTGGCTGGCCAGGGAGCTCCAGGGATCTGCTTATCTCCACCCCTGTAGGGTTACAGATGTGTGTGATCATACCTGGATTTTTTTATGTGAGTGCCAAGAATCCAAAGTCATGTCCTCATGTACAGCACTTTACCCACTGAGCGATCTCCTCAGCCAGAAAATAATTTTTGAAAAGAAAAGAAAAAATTTCGGGGAGGGTGCATTAGTAGAGTACACAGTACATTTTTTATGCATTTAAAAGAGGGGGAAAAAAACTATACACATATGTTAGCTCCAGCAAAAACAAAAAAATCAACTACAATATTTTTCTACTATATTAGAGTTTATGTCAGTAACTAGAAAGATTTTACAACTTTTATTTTGTATCTCAACCATTCTTTTGACAGTATGTAAAATAAAGGCATAAACATCGTTTATTTAACTAAGCATTTGACTGTAGTTCAGAAGTTCAGAGATTACTATAGAAAGTTGGTAAGTGGATCCCTAGGGCAATAGAAACCAGACTTTTTTTTATTATGTTCCGGTAAGACTCATTTCCAAACCCTGTGGGGTTTTATCAAGCTGAGCTTCAAGTATCCTGATCCTTTCAGACTCCAATTAACTTGTGCTGGTCTATGGGTTTTAATTCAGTCCTGTGTTGCTCATCTCCAGTGACGAGAAAACCAACATAGGAAACCAGGTTAAGCAAAGTGGTATCTTGGAATTTGTATAACAAAAAGAAAAAGAAAAAAGAAATTGGTCCCCAAAAGAGAACAAACATAACATGGTAAACTACTTTGACTGTTACAAACACAATCTCTGATAACCTCAAGAACCAGGATAAGGGGTAACAACAAAGGTGGCAGCCCACCCAAAGGCTCTGGCAGACGCAGAGATGGTGCTTTGGCAGGCCTGCTGAAGAAAAACAGATCTGTACACACACATCCAGGGCCTGGGAGGGGTTGGAGAGGAGAGAGCTGCTTTTCTTTACTGCCATCCCTTTCTGCCTTGCAATTCATGGCTCTGTCTCTCTCATTTAGTTCCCATCAGCCAACTCTGAAGCTGTTGAAAGAGAATTGGTTATCATTCCTGTCAGCCACCTGGCAGCCCTCAGTCACACCAGCTTTGCTTAAACTCCTGGCCAGCATCAAAAGGAAGTCCAAGGAAAATAGCAAGAGAAGAAGAAAGGTAGCCGGCTCCTAGATGGTAGGGACATGGCTCTGAAGCTTTTATATAGGAGTACCCATTGCACATGGCAGGCCAACCAGGGATTGGAAAAGGACCCAGACTTGAGTCAATTGTGAGTAACAGTCTCTGAACAGGGTGACTGCAGCTGCTCATACACTTAGCAAGCCTTAGACTAAACATTGTGGCCTGTGCGCCTTCGTTAGTGTTTATTGTATTCCATTTGGGGAAGCACCCATAACATTTTTAGAATTTTTCTGTATATGCAAGCTTATTCCCATGCATGCAAATGCTTGTATGATGGCTAACCATGTATTAATGTGTACCATGACCCAATACCCAGCATTGAACTAAGCACTTGTCTTCCTTTGGTTTGTTTTTATAGCAATCATGTAAGAAAATGTCCCCTATCGATGCTTATTTATGAAATACCAGGCAATTCTCTCATTCAAGTGATGAGAAAACCGAGGTATTTCTGGTCACAAAGCCACTTTCTAAATCCTTACCCAACACTACTCTGATACCAAATCTTCAGACCTAACTTTTCTGAGCCTCAGATTCCACAGTCAGTTTAATGAGAGGTTTGGATACCACTATTGCCCAATTTTGGGATTGTCTCTTAAATAAAAGTCTGCTAACTTTGCGGGAGCAAGGCGTGCTCCTGGGCCGTTCTCCACCCTGACAACTCAACTTAAAGACATGGAACACAAGACATGTTTCATCTTGATACATTGAGCTCAGGATCTCAACCAGATCTCAAGCTTTTGGTCAGGACTCCAGATACGTGAATAAGTACACGTATGCTTTCCTCCAGATGATGTGATCTTAGAATGCCTGCCTTCCTAAGAAAAGAGCCCTCTCTAGATTCTAGGCAGCAGCAATTACTTTTTTTCCTGGCTACTCTTAAACTCCTTCTAAGAGTTGTAAATACACTTGCCCCTCAATATTCATGAGGAATGGGTTCCAGGTCCCACGAGGATGCCAAAATCCATGGATGCTCATGTCCCTTATGATATATCTGCATATAATCCACAAACATCATTTTATATGCTTAAAATTATCTCTAGATTACTGATAATATAAATGATTGCTATGTAGTTTTGTTTAGGAGCTAATGACAAGAATTTTAAAAGTATGGACATATTCTGTACAGGTGTAATTTTTCTGAATATTTTCAGTCTGTGCTTAGTAGAATTCACAGATTCAAAACCTGTGATATAGAGGACCAAGTATACATACTGTTATTGTTCCTTCATCTTTCATTTGTGTGTGTGTGTGTGAGTGTGTGTTACAATGTGTGTGTTATAATGGGGGGGAAGTTGGGTAGGTGTGATGTGTGTGGTATAAGGTATATGATATGTGATGTGTGTGTATACACATGTGGTATAGGGTGTGTGTGTGTGTGTGTGGTGTGTGTGTATGTGTGTGGTATGTGGTGTGTATTTAGTGTGTAAGGTATAGTGTGTGTGGTATGTGGTGTTTTTATGGTATGTGTGTGGTATGTGAGGTGTATGTGTATGTATATGCATGTAGGGGGTGTGTGGTATGTGATATGTTTGTGGTGTGTGGTATATCTATGTAATGTATATGTGCAGTGGGTGAGGTGTGTATATGTGTGGTGTATGTGTATGTAGTTGTGTCTGTGTGTGTAGTATGCAGTATGTGGTGTGTTTATGGTTATGCATGTGTATGGTGTACTTGCTGTGTGTTGTATGTTGTGTGCATGTATGTTCTCATGTGCGTGGGCACACGTGTGAGAGCAGGCTTCCAGGTACAGGTCAGAAGTTGACATTGGGCATCTCTTCAGTTGCGCTCTATGTCATTCACAGAGGCAGAAACTCTCACTGAACCAGGTATTTGTGATTTGGGCAAGTCTAGCTTGTCTAGGCAACTTACCCAGGAACCCCCCCATCTCCTCCTCCTGAGCACTGGGATTACTGACAGGCTTCCCTCTATATATGTCCAGCTTCTTAAAGGGAGGGGGTTTGTTTTTAATTTATCTATTTATTGGGAGAGGGGTACATGCCAAAGTGTGGGTGTGGCAGTCAAAGGACAACTTTCAGAGATTGGTTCTGGGGATCAAACTCAGGTCATCAGGCTTGGCAGTAAGCAACTTTACCCACTAAGCTATTTTGCCAGCCTCACCTACACAGCTTTCATGGGGGTGCTGGTCCTCACACTTGCACAGCAAATGCTTTATCTATTGAGCTATCTCCCTAACCCCTCATTTCCTTCTTTCTCAACCTGCTCCAACTAGGTTTTTGCCCTGTTAGTCCACAGAAACCTCTCATATTAAGGTCACCTTCAGCCTTTATGATGTTCTTCATCTGGCTTCACAGGAAATGAAACTTTAGTACTATGATACAGAGGAATGAATTAAAACACCAAGCATCCAGAGATTGGAAAACAAAAACCTCATGAACTATCTTCATTGAAACTCAAAGGCTACATGTAAAAGCGTCATGAGGTCTGTGTTTTTTCACAAAGTGACATACTGCTACAGGTTTCTTTTTTTATTTCACTGGTATTTATTGCATTAAAAATTGCTAATTTTACATTTTAATAGTAAAATTTAGATTTTCCTTAAACAATTGGACCCCTCATCTAACTATTGCTATATATAATTATAGTGTATACTAAAGAGTGTGTGAAAAATGCTGAGACTACCTAAACTAAAGGAAATCCCAATGGTTTCCTAGTCACAGGAGCTCATCCAAATTTCCTTTCCTGTGCTCAGTTAGGAAAACAGGTTATAGAGTTAATGATTCCCTGAATGTCACACAACTGTTTGGTGGACCTGGGACCAGCAGCTATTCCTCAAAATTTAAAGCCAGAGTCATCCCATAATAACATGCTTCCTTGATATATGTCAAAAGATTAGTAGATTTGACACAATTAGCTGTGCCTTTTACTAGTCAATGCATGGTAATGACAGGAGTTCCAGCTCTCTTCTTTAACCCGTCTATTCCCAACCAGTTCTGGGTATGTGATTTGACCATTTGGCAAGTGGTCCCAAGTCATTTAGTAGGTATGTGAGTTACAAAAATTGGACTTGAAAATGCTTTATCATTTTAGAGATTAGATCAGACTTAAAGTTATGCCAATGAAAACACCGTTTTTCTTCTTTTATACCCCAATATATCCTCTTGAATAGCAACTAATATGGGGTAATGAGCTAGGCAGCCTGTTTCCACCCATCATCTGGATTATCCCATGGACATGGGGATATGTGACATATGACTGTCACCATCATGTCTGGCAAAGCAATGCCTTCAGTGTGGTTAAGTGGCTTGTGAGACATTCTCATATTGCTTGGCTTTTCTTGTTATTAAACACATTAAGTACTGAGCAGAGATTTCTTGAGAACGAGATTTCAAATTTGCTTGGAAGACCAGTAGAGAACATAGCTCTTCATACAAATCTCATTCCATCTGGCCATGAACCAGTTGAGACAACTATAGAATGGACAGCACTGGGAAGAACAAAAAGATGTTCCCCATAGACTGGAGATGTTAGTCTCATAAGAAACATTAACCTTTGGCCATTTTTTTCAAAACATGGCACCACACTGAAAAATATGGTTGTCCTCTCTATCCTTGACCAATCTTTTCTTCAGTTCTGAAATTAGCATCAACAAGGGAGTTGAGGGAAAAGCTACCCTCCTCCACCTCCCTGCAGGCCACAACAGCAGGTGTGCCTATTTTCAGAGGTAAGTGAAATATTTGCCAAATCATTTGGCACACTTAAACTCAAAATGTGCCAAATTGCCTGTCAAAGTTAAATGGCCTTTTAAAAAGAGAGACAAATGGCCTTCCATCATCATCTTCATGGACCCACAGTGCCATCCAGTGGCTCAGGGTGTCAGTCACATGTGTATCGGGCTCCATTGTCTTCCAGGGTTTGGATCCAAGCTGATCACTCTGGCCATAACATTGGCTCCTTTTGTGCCCAGAGCCTTTGGGACTTGGAAAAATACAATGCATGGGACATGAACTGGGTTGGAGGAGATGGTTCCAAGGCTTAAATGTCATGTTTACAACATCCTATTTATAGGAGCATGAGCTGTCTGTAGGATTTTCCAACCAGCAAACATTCAGGTATCTTCCTCCACTGAATCAATGACAAAACAATTTTTTTAAAAAAAAAGAAAAGAAAAATATTAACATACCCAGAATTCTGTGTCTATTCCATCAGCACCCTCCCTTTATGGGGAACTAGGCCAGCCAGATCACAGCAATCATATTACTTCTATATGGCATATAGTCTTCATCTTTAAATCCTTACTTGTATAATTTCTCCCTTAAAATGCCCTTTTTAATGAAATGAAGTTTGGGGGATGGAAGTTTTCTGTTCAATGAAGGCAAGTACTTCTGGGCCATATAAGCTGATAGAAAGTAGGTAAAGAGGAAGAAGACAGGAAATGATGCCAAGAGAAGACAGAGAAGGCAGACTTGGTTTTCTTCTACTTGCACAACTAAAGGAGTACTGCAAAAAGATTGGTTCCTTTGAGCTAGTGGTTTTGCAATGTTTATGAGCTGAATCAACCAAAACTTCTGAGAACCAGCTTAAATGACAACTGGGTTGGTTCTGAAGTGATCAGAAACAAGAATCTGACAGGAACTATAAGCTGCTACAAATAGGTCAACTCATGTCCTCTGATTTCCCCAGTGTAGCTTGATGCAGACCTGGAATGTGGTTCACCAATTCAGTTGGATCAAATCGAGGCATTTCGCTGTGCCATTTCTTCATCTTTTTGAAAAGATCCAATCAAGAAAACATTTGCTCTGATTAGAGGATCATTCTAAACTAATTAAACCCTTCTGGTTCTAATCTTGACAGACTCACTAGCTAAGGCTATACCCTCCATTTTCCATTTGCTAGTCAATCCTACTCATTTTAAGCATACAGTATAAGATAATCAGAAATGAGAGGAACTTACAAACCATCAACTATATTGACATCTCCATTTTACAAATGGGAAAATTGAGGACAATTTCTCCACTTCCATTTTTCAAATGAGTCCAAATCTTCACCTATAACAAGAAGACATTATAGGAAAAGGGTCAGGTACTTTCACACTTTCCATAGTAAAGAAATTTTCCCAAAATTGTCAGCAATAACATAATCTAAGACTTTAATATGGAGATTAGAAGAATATGATAATTATATTTCCTTCCCCCTGGCTGTATTTGGGGGTAAGGAAGAATATGGAATCTTCAGTGCCACACCCATTTGTGTTCAGGAACCAGCGATTCTGAGCTGTCCAACTCTGGTGTCACTAACATAGACAAGCTGACTCATTTGGACTTTGAAGACTTCTAGTGGAGAAATTGTGGTTTTCTGGATTCTTCCATTTGAGATGGCAAGAGGCTTAACAAACAAGTTCAGTAAACACAGTGTCTGATCAAAGTCTTAGTAAAATGATACTACATGAATGCCTGTCTGGGAAATAGAACCTCAATTAGGAAGGGATATGGGAAAACTATTTAAAGGAACCGTGATTAGGCTACTGGATGCCAAGAATGGCTTGCTCTGTAGATTAAAATGACTCCCTCTTGGAAAAAAAAAGTTTGTTTTTTTTTTAAACCACAAAGGGTAGGACTAGAATGACAAAAAACTAGGCAATGAGCATTTGCTTAACTGAGATTCAAGGGAGAGGCCTTTAAAATCTGTACAATACCTTCCTGTTTAGAAACTCTGATTTAGTTAAGTTAGAGTTAGAAACTCTCAGAGTTAGAAGCTCGTATTTAGTTTAAGAGTTCAGCCACTTTGGTAACAACAGACAAATAGTCTAACTAGTTCAAATAAAAGAACAAAAGATGGGTTAGTCTAATGATAGACTTCAGGTAGCAACAGTAGCCAGTCATGAGCACAAAGCTAAGCCCAGCTGTACCTCACGGGCCTGAAATGTAGAGGTATATATTTATTGACACCTATGTGGAAACACAAAATACGCAACCATTCTTTTGTAGAGCCTTCCATTCCAGCTTCTCTCTATTGTCCTTCTGTTACCCTCATTTCTGTATCTCCCTGCCATCTACTAACTGTTCTGTTCTTTTCTTTAGAAATAGACTTTCCTGTTCTACTCTTAGTCTTGGCTTTCTGTTGTCCAGGGACTTTCAGCTTTAGAGTGTACTAACTATAAACATGGTTAGCCACTCTAGCAATTGGCTGGCCTTGGGGCAGAACCATCCATGATTTCAGGTCACAGGGTGCATACATGGTTGCCTAAGCTGATTTCTTGGTCTTTAGTCATTGATGGGATCATTAATGGATAAAATTCCTAGAAAAATGGCATTATTGAGGTAGACATCCCAAAATATATCAACTATTATATGTTCTAGTTGTCACAGAAATTTTGATTAATTTTATATGTTCCTGACTACCTCGGGCTACATTTTCCTTATAATCACCAATGTCAAGACAGGGTTGATGTCTGTCAAAGTTTTTCATTTCTAGGTCATGGTCCAGTCCCCATCTTGTCTATCAGAAATTTCTTCCATGGTTTCCTTTAACTTCTAAACTATGAAATTACCCACAAAGCAAGTCAACAATTTGCCAGATGTTCTTCTTTTCACAGAATGACACTTCCAGCATCTGTCCAACTGAGTAAAGAGGTACTCCAGCCACTGTTTCTATATCAAAGTTTAGGAAACCTCATGGCCAGCATCATCAGATTCTACAAGTCTGTCTGTTTTGAGACTATGGCAGTTGTGTGTGACAATTGTATTATTACTTGGGTTTTTTTTTTTTTTCCTTTCATACTCTGTCAGAAGTTCCTTTCTAGATCTTATCCTTTGATTCACACACCTTTGTCCCACTCACAAGGGTTACTTAGTGGAACACCTCACACAGATGCCATTTGAGGCATTTAACCACTTAGGAACAAGATAAATAACAGATAGGATGTAATAAGGACTCACATGATTTTCTGTTATCACTGAGGTTAGCGTTTCCTTGCCTGGGCTGTTATGGGCTGTGTAAAATTGTTTCTAAACTTTCAAACACTGCATTGTCACATTTGGTGGTGGTGCCAAAAGTGGGGTGGGGGGGTGTCCAAATTGGGTGATGCTCAATATTTTTATTTGAATATATGCAGGAGAGCCTTTGGATGCTGTGCTCAGGGGAAGCCTCTGTGAGCAGCAGGAATGTGAGCACCATGGTAGGGTTCTGAAGCATGAACAGGACCATTCTGGACCCAGAGGACATTCAGTGGACAGACTCACAGACAACAGAAACAACACCCCACAATATTAGAGGTCTCCACTTTCAGCTTCACAAATATATGTCCACAGACATCTGCCATGACGATCAACTTGTCACACAGTGGTACAGCTGTTCTACATCTGCCCAGATCCCAACAGGATAATTTTCTTTATCAAATTTACCAAAACAGGAAATCTGTCTATAGTTGATAACAGCAAGAACTCTGTTTTGCATCTCTGCAGCATCATAGGAAGGTCACTAGTGATCCAAGCAGGCTAGGCCTGCTGATCCTATTGCTTTTAAACATGCAAGGCTCTAGGACAGTGAGCTGAGCTTCTCTTATAAGGTATCCTCATGAAGACATATGCTTTTACTTAGTAGGATGAAGTTTATTTTGTATTTAGTTGCATAGCCATAGCCATAACCTGTAGCCATTTTTAAATAACTCATGATGTTCAAATAGCTCCTACTACTGCTGGATCCTCACTCTGTGATCATTAGAACACCACCTATCCTTTTCAGTATATGAAGATACTTTTCAGTATATGAAGATACGAGAAATTGTGTGATATTTTCAAAATCATCCGCCTTGTTAGTAAGAAGGTAACTAGAACTTTTGTCATAATCTGACTCTAATCCAAAAATCTTCACTCCAGAATTCCATTTTCTTTTTCACACATTGGGCAAATCTGAGAGAGAGAGGGAATCAAATCCAGGTCCTCTGCAAGACCAGTCAGCTCTTAACCACTGCGCCATCTCTCCAGCCCCTTAAATACTTTAAAAAAATTTATTTATTTATTTTTATTTTATGTGTATGTGTGTATTGCCTGCATGTAGGTAAGTGCACCCATGTCATGCATTTGAGAGAGAGAGAGAGAGAGAGAGAGAGAGAGAGAGAGAGAAGAGAGAAATATACTTTGGGGGCCTAAAATAGCTGCTCTACCTCCTGCTTCCACATCTGCACCCCAGCCATAAAAGATAAGGCCATAAGATATGAATTACCTGCTTACCTCCTTTGGTTAAGATTTAGTAACATGTGGCTGGAGAGATGGCTCAGCAGTTAAGAACACTGGTTGTTCTTGCAAAAGACCCGGGTTCGAATCCCAGCACCCACATGGCAGCTAACAACTGTCCGTAACTTCAGTTCCAGGGGATCCATGTGCTTTGGTACTATAGTGGTGAGCATAGCTGCCTTCCAGGGGATCTGACAACGTCTTCTGACCTCCGCAGGCATTGCACAACATGGGTGCACTTACCTACATGCAGGCAATACATGCATACACACAAAATAAAAATAAATAAATTTTAAAAATTTGAAAGTATTTAAGGGGCTGGAGAGATGGCGCAGTGGTTAAGAGCTGACTGCTCTTGCAGAGGACCTGGGTTTGATTCCCAACACCCACATGCTGGCTACAAACTGTCCTTAACTCCAGTTCTAGGGGAATCCGACATCCTCTTCTGACCTCCGTGGCATTGCACGACACAGGTGCACTCGCAGGCAGGCAATACACTCATGCACATAAAATAAAAATAATAAAATATTTTTTTTAAGTATTTAAAAAAAAGGATGTAGTCACATAGCCCA